GTCAAGACCACCATGATCATTCTTCTGTCCATCTTTCATATTAAACCTGCCCACACACTATTTAAAAATTAAGTTACGTAAACTAATATTCAAATAAATTATATTTTAAAGAGTAATAAATACTTAAAGTTATCATTTCCTAGTTTGTTTTATTAAATTTTACTACTTATGCTTTGTTATTATTTCTGAATCTATGACTTGTAGATGATAAAATACTTTATCAGGCACTTGGGGAATGTGTTGCTGTGCATCTTGCCAGCTCCAAGTCTGCGGTGATGGCATACTGACAGTTTAAGACCGGCTGTGCGTAAGTAGTTACACCACAGCCAAGCATAATGGTGTACAATGCAGCACTCAGTTCTCACAAGCTGCAGGCTGCCCTGAGAAACAAGGAAACCCTGTCTTATCCAGGGCAAAGTGGGGGCTGGAGGAAGAAAGATGAGTTGTGCACAGAAATCTATACAGGTTGTATTTCAGGCTCATATCTCTTTAGGACACAATATTAAGTGTGAGCATACAGCTACATGTGTGGAAGGTGAGTCTGTCTTCCTGGTAGCACTTATAAAATGTTCATCACCCACACCGAGTGGCCACCTAACCCAGACCTGGATCCATAATAATCTGACATGACAGAGTTGGGGCTGCTTCTTGACTTCATGTGTGTGACTCCAGTTGTCTCCAAGCTCCATCCAGTTTTTGTGGCCATTGGAATGCTAATCACATGACGCAGTGACAGGTACAACCACTCCTCTATATCCTTTACAAATGGCACACCTCTCAGCCAATATACCCTTGGGTTATAACATTGTTCTGGATTTCCTGCCTCTGTGGAGAAGAGAGTGTAGATTCAGGGCTTTCTGGGTGCTACAACTGTCCCTCAACACATCAAAGAAACAACATAGAGATTCCACAGTCTAAGAACATATGAACATTCTAGTTACAGTTCAGATTGCTGAGATGACTCTCAGCTGCAACCATTAACCTGAAACATCCACTGTGATGTGAACCTCGTATCCTAGCTCTAATGGCTGATGGGCAGGAATATAGCCTACATCAAATGATGGCTAGACAGATTTCTCTACCTGTCTACATATACACAAGTATTTGTGCACACGCACACACACACACGCACACACACACACACACACACACAATGTGTGGATAAATCAGAGAACTGGAGCACTGTCTAAATGCTGGGCAGAGTGGAGTAGACATGACCGTGGTTATCCCTACTAACAGAGGAGTCGGTTACCTTTGTCACTTATTCCAGTAATGGCCATTGCTCTCGCACTTTCCCCAGAGACTCGCCTGCCCCCTCCACCATAATTACCAGCTAATTATCTGTGGGCTGTGGAACCCCTGGGTCCCAGCTGAATTAATGAGATGTGTGCCTCCATAGGAAAGGAGTTCTGGGATCCCTCTCTCCACCACACACCTAACGCCAGGCTTTCCACCACCGGACCATTTGCCAACACCTTGCTAGTTAACTGAAGTCTCTGTCCCACTTGGTTCCATTTATCCCATAGAAAAGGCAGCAAAGTGTGGTCAATGAACGTCAATTCATTTGTGTTTGCACATGAACTCTGGTGTTTATCACTATCTTGCACTAGCCTAGTAGCTTCTTTGTTAAATTCCTCATGCAAACAAGGAAGATAATATGTAGAGTTGTAATGGACAGTCAGAGGTATGTGGATAAATGCTTAACAGCCTGGCTGGAGGGATGCAGAGCCTCCACTTGCAGTTTGTTCTGTTTGCACAGTACAAACACTCCCAGCAAGCAAGATTCTAGATAAGTATGATTTAAAAGCTATCTCATAAAACCTGAGAATTTAAGAATCATATAAGCTAGTTCTAACAGATCACGTGAGTGTGTGCTCAAAAAAGAGGCTGGCTGTAAAGCTTAGCAGTCCCTACTATAACCAGAGCTCTAGTTACCCTTTCTGAGACCATCATTCTTCCTTATTTCAAGTTTTCTTCTTGATGTCCATGTAGAAACTAGGCAGCAATTAAGAATTTCATCATGAGCAGTTGCTGGCAAACAAAGTAGTTCTTCTCCAGTTGATGGTAAGTAGAATATTTGCTGTTCTCTTGTGTAATATCAGTTCCCATGTACCCTCGGCAATAGAGCCCCGGACAGGGAGTTCAGAGGAGTTAGAGGTTTGGTTCTGTTACTATACAGGTTATTTGTTTGTTTGTTGTTTGTTTTGCTTTGAGATAAATGTACCAAACACAAAATCCACCTGCCACTGCTTCTTGAGTGCCAGGATGACTGGCAATAGGTACTAATACAAAACTGGGTGACTTTTATCAGAGGCTTTGAGTCACACTGATCTGGTGGCCTCACGCCCTTGGATTTTGGACAAGAAAATGCAGTCTGTGACAGCTCACACTAGGCACACTCCTTTCTGTACTCCCCCAGGTATGGGGAACACTCTCTAGCATTCCCTTGGTCCCAACATTTTTTGAGTAGGTAACCTTAGAAATTTTCCTTGCCCCAGACCATTCACTATGAAAATTCATGGCGAAATTGATAAAGTCTTTGCAGGGCTGCCATACAAACCAGAAGATCAGGAGCGACATTCACACCTATACTCCCAGCACTGAGGAGGCAGAAACAGAAAGAATCTTGGAGCTTATTGGCCAGGCAGTCCAGCCAAATCAGTAAGCTCGCAAAAAGACAAGGCAGACTTCAGCTGAGGAAGACACTGGACACCAACCTCTGGTCTCCCACAGGTCTACAGATGCATGCATGCCTTAGCACAAACACACACACACACACACACACACACACACACACACACACACACACACCACTATGTATTTCCAAAGGGTAAGTTTTACATTCTATGAAATATATCTCAAAACAATAAGTCAAGTGTGCTATAATCCCCATATTTCTGCAATAAAGACTGAAGAATCGGAAGTTTAGAACCAGCCTTTACTACTTAGTGGGTTTGAGGCCAACCTGGGCTATGTGAAACCCTGATCTCAAAGAAAAAAAAGTGAGGCTGGCAAGATGAAGCAGTTAAAACTGTTTCCACCAATCCTGGTGACCTGGATGCAATTCCATGAATCCTCATAATAGAAGTAAAGCAATTTCCACAAGTTTCCTCTGACCTTCACATGCATGCACACACACTAAATAAACGCAATGACTATTAATAAGATTCATTTATTTTATATCATGTGTATGAGTATCTTACTTGCACATGTGTATGTTCACTACATGGCTTGGTACCCGTATGAAGAAGAAGGCATAGATTTCCTGGAGCTGGATTTAGGGATGGTTGTAAGCCACCATGTGGGTGCTGGGAACTGGCCTACAGTCCTCTGCAAGAAGGGAAAGTACCCTTAGCAGTTGAGCCATCTCTCCAGCCACCGTGCAATGTATTTTAAAGAAAAAAAAAGAGATGAGAAGGCAGGGAATAATTCATGTAATGTTGAGAATGGTATTTCCATCTTTGAGGATGGGAAATGGGAAGCTAGGGAGGGATGCTCAGGACCCTTTAAGATATGTGGAATATCTGTTTTATATCCTTAACCTGGCTATTGGATGCATTAGAGGTTGAATTCCTTATTATTTATACTGCAGAGAATTGCTATGTTTATACTTTGGTTTGAATATAAAATTATAATATTGAGAAATATTCTGTAGGATAAAAAAAAAGGTGGGAAGAAGTGAAAGCAGAAGGTTCTGGGGGAAAAATTATGGGGCAGTGAGTGTTCTTCCATTTTAAAACACTTTTGGCAGACCCACCCACCCATTGCTTCCCTGTCATCTGCCAGACCAGAGAACCGTGTGTCTTCAGTTCATTTTCCAGAATAGCCGCAGCCTCCCTCACCATCACTGAGCTGGCCTGCTATGCTCCAATATTTCCAGTCACTTCAGTGGTGGAGTTTTCCGACCTGAAACTTCCCCCAGATATGCCCTTCACTATGAACTTTTTCCTTTCATCTGCCCTCTACAGCCTGCATGACTGACATTTCTATCTATGCCTTAATAACGCAACTGTGAGTCACAGTGATTTTGACAAGCCTCTTGCCTTCTGCTTGTTAGCTTCTCATGAGGACTGAGTGACTGGACCAAATCTGCTTGCTAACCAGGGCAGCTGTTTAGTAGTAGGTGGTTAAAGAAGCCAAGACAACTGAAATAATCTACTATGTGTGAATAGAGTCTCAAAATGAACCAAACTCTCACATGCATAACACATTCTGAGCCAGGTTTGGTAGTGCACACTTATAGACCCAGAATTCCAGAAGCTGATACAGGCAGATTGCCCTGAGCTGATAGTCAGCCTGTATATCAGAACAAGACCCTATTTCAAGCAAACAAACAAAAAGATTTACTCTGTCTCTGATAAGCTACCTGTCAAAATAAAAAGTATAAAATAAAATATTTCTAGTCATGCCAAAATGTATTCACCAAGTCAACACAGAAATAATGAAATAATGAAAGTTTCAAGCTTACAGAGATACAACCTGGAAATTCATTCAAATTAATTGATTTTAATTTCCTTTATTTGTTTCTTTTTATTTTATTTCTCTATTTATTTACTTATATATTTAGGTAAACTACAGATCTAAACCACAGTTCATGTTTGGCAGTTTTCTGCCTCAGGGGTACATCCTCAGCCCACAACACAGTATTTAACTAGTGCCTCCAAGAGATTACAGGTGTGAGACAGCAATGAGAAAAAACAGAAAAGCACTGAGGTTATAGGGAACCCAACACATTTCTACTGAAATAGTGAACAGGTTGATCAACCCGTCTGAAATCAGCATTCTCCATCTTTAACCAGGAAGTCAAAGGCACCTATCCATCCATCCATCCATCCTCCACAACATTCTTGGTTTCCTCATGGCCACTAGACAATGTTTGACCAAGAGAAATAAGTGAAGGCAAAAACCTCGTTGGCAAAGAGCCTGGAAGAGAAGCTTGTGAGAAGCACACAAAATGAGTTTTCATTAGCCCCTTTGTATCACTCTAACATGAAGCTTCATCCCTCCAAGCAGACACAGAAGACATGGTCAACCAGAGCTCCCCAGTGGGCTTCCTCCTGCTGGGCTTCTCTGAACACCCACACCTGGAAAAGATTCTCTTCGTGGTTGTCCTGTGTTCCTACCTCCTCACCCTCCTAGGAAACACACTCATCCTCCTGCTGTCCACCCTGGACCCCAGGCTTCGCTCTCCCATGTACTTCTTCCTCTCTAACCTCTCCTTCCTGGACCTCTGCTTCACCACAACCTGTGTCCCCCAGATGCTGGTCAACCTCTGGGATCCCACAAAGACCATCAGCTTCCTGGGATGCTCTGTCCAGCTCTTCATCTTCATGCTCCTGGGTACAACAGAGTGCATCCTGCTGACAGTGATGGCCTTTGACCGCTATGTGGCTGTCTGCCAGCCCCTGCACTATGCCACCATCATCCACCCTCGCCTATGCAGGCAGTTGGCAGCTGTATCCTGGGCTATAGGTTTGATCCAATCCATAGTTCAGGTTCCTCCCACCCTCCGCCTGCCCTTCTGTCCCCATAGACAGATAGATGACTTTTTGTGTGAAGTCCCATCTCTAATTCGATTGTCCTGTGGGGATACCACCTATAATGAAATTCAATTGGCAGTTGCAGGTGTCATCTTCCTGCTTGTACCTCTGAGCCTCATCCTTGTCTCTTATGGTGCCATTGCCAGGGCAGTGCTAAGGACTAACACTTTAAAAGGGCGCAAGAAAGCTTTTGGGACCTGCTCCTCCCACCTCATTGTGGTCACCCTCTTCTACAGCTCAGTCATTGCTGTCTATCTGCAGCCCAAAAACCCCTACGCCCAAGAGAGGGGCAAGTTCTTTGGTCTCTTCTATGCGGTGGGCACTCCAGCACTCAACCC